CAGGTGTTCCCCTCTACCATTTATTTGCCATGCAGGGCACCCATTAACACCTGGTAGAAATAGCACTTGAGAAACAAAATTTGGAAAACAGAACCCTCAAGACATTCAAGAATTTCTATGAGTTCCAAGAAGCTATCACTGAGCTGGATGCACAGAATCGATGCTATGCTATAGCTGGTAAAATGCCAAAGGGAATTTTGGTAAATGTCACCAGATACCAAACACATCAGTGTCAAGGCTCAGCAGAAATAGCCGTGGAAAATTATAACTATGGGATGCTTCATCGAAGAGCCTTCTAAGGATCCAAACTTAGAATCAGGTTCTAACTTGGTTTGTCTGTGAAAAAGAAAAGCGGTCTTTCCCACAGCCAAGGGGACAGAGGATGGCACATTAACTGTGTCCTGTGGGTGTAATGACAGGCTATGTCCACCATAGGCTAGAGTGGTCACATCGAGATATAGATATAAACACAGACAAACACATAGACATTCAACATCCCCACTCATGGAACTTACATTCCAGCCAAGTTAGACAATATAATATCAACAAACCAATAGAGAAAATAATAATAGATGGCGGTCAGGGTTATGGGGACATTAAAGAGCATAATGGGAGCGAGAAGAGTGGGGAGAATTACTTTAGGTTGTTGAGGAAGTAAAATGTGAACTGGCACCTCCTGGATTCATTGGCACAGAAAGAAGGGCGTTCCAGGAGGGGCAGCAAGTGCAAAGCCCTGAGATGGGGACACCATGGGAGCATGTGAGGACTTGAAAGAGGGCTTGGAGTATCATGAGGATTGGAGTGTGGCTAGAAAAGGTTGGCCAGGCAGGCTACAGCTGGAACTTGTTGGGTGGAAATGTGGTATATTTTTCCACCCCATTCCCTTGTTCTTAAGGAAACAACCTCAAAAAGCATCAGGGAACATTAGCGGAGTACTCAGTGATGACCCCAGGTGTCTAGATTTCTGAGAAAACTTTGAAAGAAACTCATCGAGTTCTGTCTCCCGGCAGACATCCGAATGGTCTCACCCATTCTTCAGCCTCTCCCACCAAAATCTCAAGTGGCCTCAAAAATTAAAACCAGTTCCTAAAAGCTAAATGTCGACCTATTGTCCCCAAAAGCAGGAATATAAAGAAACAGGAACCAGTGTCACTGAGCCCACTTCTGGTTGGAAGGAAATCTGCAGAGTCTACACCATCTGATCTCACTGGTTCCCTCAACCCAACCCTCCCAGGTCTCCCGGGTCCTCTTGTGGACTGCCATTCAGTGACTCTAGGCAACAGCCCCCAGTGGTACAGACACAGGCTCTGCCAAGCCTGGACCCGAGGACCATGTCTCAGGAGTGCACTGAGCCTAGCATGGTCAAAGGCTGAGTCTTCACTCTCTGGCAGGACCAGGGTCAGGAGAAGAGAAGGACAGAGCCTTTGCGGACAGAAACATGCATCCAGATGAGCATCATCCGGGAGCCTCCATTCGATTTCACAAGGTGGTTATTGGGCACCTGCCAGGGGCCGAGAAGGGTGCTTCCAGGCAGTGAGTGAAGCCTGGGCCCTTCCCTCTCAGCGCTGTCTTGTGGGGGAAGATGCATGGCCCCTCCTGGTAATTCCTGGCAAAGTGCAGACAGTGCCAAAATGGACACTCACCTGTGAGTCGGGCTATTTCAGGCTCAGGAAGAGACAACACTAGGTAGGAAGATGGAGCACAATTGTCAAGAGACTTGGAAGTGAGCAAGACAGGAAAACAGCTCATGAAGAGCTAGAACAATGGCCCCTTATTCCTCAGCATCATAGCAGCTCTGAGGGCTGGGTCTGTGGACCTTCCTCACTGCCTTCACCTTCCACTTCTGCTGCTCCCTTTACCTCTGGGTCCTCCTGTCAAGACCTTGCTTCCATGGCCCTCAACAGATGCTCTGTTTGGGTGTGAGGATGAACTTGACATGTGCCTTGGGCAGATTGCCTCACTTCTGGGTGCCTGTTTCCTCACCTGTAACAGGTGGATATTAACAGTACCTGCCTTTTATGGAATTTGTGGGAATTCAATGAGTGACTACACATAAACAGGATGGTGCTGTTTCTATGGTTAGGCTGGGGTGAATCTCTCTGGTCCACTAAGTATGGCCAGGGTAGTAGGCTCTGTGGACACTGGCTGTTTCCCAGCGTCCATTTACTTGGAAGACGGTGAGCGATATTAGAAGTAAGGTCTCCTGGGTGCTTAGAATTGCCAGATTCCTTTCCTCTACATCACAGTGTTTCAAAACAGCTTTTTAAACTTTTAAATCTTATAAAACAACGTAGGTTCATTTAAAATCACTTAGAAAAACAGTCTGACAGAAGCAGGTGGAAATCACAGAGTAGAGGATGTACACTTTTCATCTGCCTGCATCCCTCCCTTTGGAGAGCCGCTCTCAGATTGCACAGTCATTTTGTTCAATCTGTGCGGTTTGCATGGAGCTGACCCACAACAGGCTGGCACTTCTGCTGGCGCTGCTGAAAGATGCTCTTTCCTGAGACGTTTGATTAACATGGTTGAAGCTTTTGATGGTGAAGAACAGAGAAGAAAGCAGATTCCAGCTTTCTGGATGGAAAGACGGGGCGGGGGGTGGGGGAGACAGGTTCCCTGGGTCTAGTGGCACCTGCAACTATAACCTCTAGAGATGGGCCAAGAAGTTAAAGAGCCAATATGTTCCTTCTTATATTTCTATATTTTTTTCACTTAAACTATGTTCAGCTGAGATCCTGTTACTTGTAAGTGAAATAATTTTGACCAACCATTCAGAAAAAAACCTCATTTCCAGTTGTGTATATCCTTTCAGTCTTTTTTCCTTCTTAAATAGTTTTCCAAAAAATGAAAGTGGGGCCCTGGTTGGTTTGGCTCAGTGGATAGAGTGTCGGCCTGAGGACTGAAGGGTCCTAGGTTTGATTCTGATAGAGGGCACTTGCCTGGGTTGGGGCTCAATCCTGGGGGCAGGAGGAGGGGGTTGAGGCAGCCTATCAATGATTCTCTCTTATCATTGATGTTTCTATCTCTCTCTCTTTTTCCCTTTCTCTCTGAAATCAATAACAATAATTTAAAAAAAAAAAAATGAAAGTGGGACTTACAAATGTTAGCACTGTTTTTGTCCTGATCCTGTTATGAATCTTCCTGCCTGTGATTAGCATCTAGGTGTTTTTAAGAAGCAGGTAGAATAACTTCTGCCGCCCTGACCCCACCCATTGCCTGTCTGCTTCTGGGAAGGGATTTTGAGGGCCAGGGGCTCCCCATGACGCCCACAACCTGGCAGTGTTTTCCAAGCTCAGCTCTATATTGCTGGGCTTCAGACCATCAGCCTTGATAGAGACGTTGGCCTTAGGTCAGCTTGGACTCCTGCCTGGTCTTTCAAAGCACTTTCCTTTTAAAGTCTCCAAACCCAGCATTTTCCATAAACATCTTACTGCCCCTTTTTTAAAGAGGAAAGAACTCCAAGGATGAGCACAGTGTATATTAACGATGGTCCAGGCACATGCAGCACCCACAGCGGCTTCAACAATCCATGAAGAGATTCAGAGAAGACATTCGGCTGCCAAGCAACCACTGGACGTGTAATTGAAAACCGAAAACACTATAATAACATGGTGGGGATTATACCTGTGATTCCTAAAGAAACTCTGGGCGAGGTGGCCTCTGCTGTATGATCAGCATGATGAGATAATATAGGCTGCGGAACATTTGCTAGCAATTACGGCGCTAGCTTGCTCTGCTTATGGCTCAAAAATAGCAGCGACGTTTGTTTTGCTAATTTCTCCCCTGGATTTGTGAATTATTTGTTTTTATTATCTTTAAGATATACTGGCAAGAAAAATCCAATGCAGGGGGAACTTTTACTAGTATAAGACAGAGCAGTCGAGTTGTCTTTGGATGAGGACACCACACTTAATCTAATAAAAACCAAAGCAGCCCCTGTTGGAAGCTGTAATGGAGGAATGTGTTTACAAGAGAAATGCCACGGGTCAGAAACAAATATGGGCTTTGAAACCAAGGACGAAGGCCATACCCGCTGCAGTGCCTCATTCTGCCGGGTGCCTCTGAGCCAGGCATGTCACCTCCCAGGATTCTGACCTCTCTCCTCTGCCTGCTGGTGGCTGCCACACCTGCTCTGCCCACCTCAGAGGCTGTGAAAACAAAGGAGATAACATGCTTGAAACGATTTCGGTTATTCAGATACTACTTGTTAGAGCTTACAGAGCGCTCAACAGCTAACAAATGGTGCGACTGCTGAATTCCTGACCGTCCTCCCACTCTGTACATCGCAGATCTCAGCTGCCCCACGTGCAGAAGCAGCCTTCCTTTCAGAGTCAGATGGAATCGAATCTCAGCTCTGGCTGTGCGACCTTGGGCAAGTCAGCGATCTCTCTGTGCAATGGGGACAAGGCAATGCCTGCCTCGCTGCCTGAAAGCTTGCTGGTAGGTAGCAGATACACATACTTCGCTACTAAAGCAATGGTACTCAAGTATCATTTCAGTCCAACAGACGGGTACATCAGAACGGCAGTGCCAATCACAACGTAGTAGCTGTCACTTCTGGACCACTTGCTCTGCTATAGGTGCCACTCCAAAACCTCCACAAGGTTTAGCTTCCAGCTAGGAAGTGCGCTGCTGAGCCAGCACCCCATTTTATGAGTCCACAGGCTGTTCTGTCCACACACACCTGAGGCACATGCTGCTGTGCTCTTCCCTTTGAGCCTGGAAATGACCGGAGGATCTTTCTGCACACGGTTCTCTGGGCAGCCACTACTGGTCAGTAGCAGCTGACACTCAATGTCAGGCCCATTAGCTACTCCCGCCTCGCCTCCTCCGATGACCACTTCACCTTAGAGGCTGGAGTAAAAAAGAAGTCAACTCTGCATGCTGTGGGATGAATGTTACTTCCCAAAGACGGGGTGGTAACTCCCAGAAACGGGATGCATCTGCCATGTGATGGTTCAGAGGCCACAGCCCAACCGCTACTTAGAGAGAGAGGGCGGGGGGTGCCCCAGAAGGGCCCGGGGCTCTCTGCCACCACGCCAGTTGAGAAGCCACCATCTGCAAAGTCTTGACGCTGTGTGATGGTCTGTTGCTTCCCGCAGAGGAGAGCTGCTCTCCACTCCACACCCGCAGTGAGGCCAGGAACCCCACCTCCCTCCCGGGGTTGGGTTTTACCCTCAGACAAGGCGCGCTCCCAGTGGGATGACTGGGTGAGCCTGGGAGGGCCCTGGCTCCTGGTGTATTTAGGACAGCAACAGGCCACCATCCTGGCTTCCCAGTCCGTACACCAAACCCAGATAGTTTCTCCCCCACCATTTCCCCTCTAACCCATATATAATGATGTTTTTCTTCTTTTTCTTTCTTAGGAGAAGGATTGAAGAGCTGCAGGGACACACCTAAGGCATTGTTAGTAAAAGCTCCGGAAGAGACCACGAACCCTGTTAGGAATGAGCAGAATCAAAATTAGGGTAAGAAAGGGAAAAAGGGGACATTATCCTTCAAATATGCCTATTTCTAAAAGAATAGAACTTGTAAAATCACAAAAGGTTCCCCAAAATATGTTAAGCCCCAACCTCCCCCATCATTGTCAAACCCAGCATAGAATCAGATTATCAAGGTTAAGTATACCTTGAGAAAAGGGAAATGCTATTCAGACTACACAATTAAAGCAGGGATGTGACTAGCTTGGGTATGGGGATTGGAGGGGTTCCACATGAGAGGAAAGGGAAATAGGTCAAGGCCTAGAGCAGACAGCCAATGTAGGAGGGAGGCAAGTTTGAAGGGGATTAGTATCATGTGCCCTTATGAATACTGAGAGCTGGGTTTGTAAACACTGACATGAGTAGTAGCTAAGACTTAGACTCTAAAGCCAAACTCCAAAGACTGCATCTGAGCTCACCTTTTGCTAGCTGTGTGGTCTTAGACAAGTCGCTTGCAGTCTCTCTGTCTCAAGTTCCCCATCTATAAGTGGGGACATTAACAGCACCTGTCCCATAGAATTCTATAGATAATTCATGTGAAAGAAATGCTTAGCAGAGAGTCTGGCACCTAAGTAATCCAGTATATGTGAGTCACCCCTATTCTCTAAATATATCCATAATATGTTACTGAGATTTTTATAAAGTTACATAATACTATTTATTAAAATGTCCCATTTATAGAAAACATATTTATAGAAAACATATAGAGGCCTGGTGCATGAATTTGTAAACTGGTGGGGTACAGCCAGCCTGCCTGTGATGGGGGCTATTGGGGGCGAGCTGGCTGGGGTGAGGGACTGCAGGCAGTTTGCCAGCTGGCCCCGCCCCCATCTGGTCTGTGGGCGCCTGGGGGTGGGGCCCGCCGGGGGGAGGGGCTTCAGGCATTCCAATCGTTCTGTCGATCAGTCAATTTGCATATTACCCTTTCATTATATAGGATATTTGCTCACAAAGGAAAAAAATAAGCATAAAAGCCTTGCTTTCAAGGCCAAAACTGTTAACCATAGTGGACAGAATAATTTTCTTCTCTGTTTTAAATATTTCTGTATCATTTGGTAGGTAACTTAATAATGGTCATATGTTATTTTCTAAGAAAATAAAGATAAACTTATAAGAAAGACAAAGCATATGACTTCTGACCCTGAAGCCTGGGGTATAATGCAGTGTCTGAAAGGACCAGGGTGGCAAGTGTTCCCTGCCAAGGCAAGTCTTAATGACAAGGAAGAAAGACTACTTGGCAACAAGAATGAAAAGGAGGATGGAAGTGCTCAGCGATAAAAGTGGGACAAATGTGCAAGGTGTGAAGTGCCTGCACACACAGTACTTTTCATGCCAAGGGGAGATGTCCCCCCTTTCCCCCATTTTTGCTGCATCTGTGCTTCGTGTTGTCTTCTAAGAAGGTAGTGGATTCCTTTGTCCCTGGCTGTGTCTGGACTCCAGATCACGTGCTTAAAGTTTGGAAAAAAAGAAGTGTACCTTGAAGGGAAATGTTAGTTTAAATGGCTGTCTTTGAATGGATTATTCTGAACATTAGAAAATATTGTGAAATGTATAAAGAAAACGGGCCTGCTGATTGGATTGACGTTTTTGACGCTAGAAATAAATCCAAGAGCTTATTTTAATTAAATAGAGAGGAAATAAGGAATTTTTGTGTTACTCTAGTTGAAATGAGTATTCAAAGTATTTTTCAACCAACATTAGATGAGTAAAAATAACTGTCTTGCTTTTCTAACTTTTGAAGAGGATGTTGACAAGGCATGAAGCATCTGAAAGCTTCTGCATTGTATTTCAGCTTCTGCCTGGGTCAATGCAACCAGGAGTGTGGTGCTTTTAAGTGACTGGGCTGGAGCATCCACTCCCCAGTGGCTCGTCCACGTGACTGCAAGATGGTGCTGGCAGCGGCCTCAGTCCCTTCCCACGCGACCTCGCCACATACTGCTCCGCGTTCTCCAGCAAGGTGGCTGCATTTGGCCAAAGCAAGTTGTTCAAGGGACTAAGTTGTCCAGGTGATTTGGAGGCTGCCTTTTACGACAGCCTCAAATCACACACTAGCCTTGGAACTGAGTATAAGCCAACCCTGATTCAATGTGGAGGCAAATACACAATGGACTAAATAAGAGGCGGTGAGGATTATTAGGGACCATCTTGAAGTCTGGCGACCATAGGCACCAACAAATCCTGATGGTTAGAGCCCATTGGAAGCAATGTTGGGGAAAGATGGACTCTTGGCAGAGGCTCTCAAAGCCTGGGAAGGATTGGAAGTTTTGAATAATCACAAGGCCAGGTTTCGATTGTCCACAGTGGGTGGACAATCTGACCTCTAAAACATATCTGGGCTCTAGTTTGAACCCGTTTCCTAGTTATTTCTAAGCTGGAGACCCTCTGCCTAGGATTAAATGGAACATCAGTGCATGATTGATTCCTTCAACAAAACATTTATAGAGTTCCTACTGTGTGTCAGACACAGTGGTAGGCCTTGTAGTTACCCCTACCTAACAGTGCCTGTCCCAGTGAAGGCTACAAATACGCAACCTGATTAATTAATTATGATTTTTTTCACAAGAAAAATCATAGGATGCCACTAGAACTAAAATTAGCCAGGCCGTGCCAGTTTAATATCACTCAGTTTAAGTGATATTAAACTGAGAAATGATGAGTAGGAGGGAGTAGTCGGTAGAGGAAGCAGCATGTTCAGTGCAAACATAATAGTGTATTCTGAATCCTGAACTGTTTGGCCCATACTTAGGGAGTTACTGATAATTGTAATTCAGTTCACTCAGTGCTTGATTGTTGAGAGAAAAGTCTTCATCATTTAATACCAAATTATTTCTTCTTTCAGTTCCAGACAAAGACATGCATGTTATTTCCCAGATACCCAAGAAAGCATCAAGGCTAAATTGTGTAGCGTGTCTTGGGATAAGAAAACTTCTCTTACATCTCATAGAAAAGGAAACAAATATCTGAAATAAAACAGAGAATAAAACAGAGTTTTTGCTAAAAGCTGTGTTTGCTTTCAATGTCTGAAATTAAACTGAGCAATTGAAGAACTATTGTAAAGTGGTCACTTAAATCATATGACCATTGCATGATAGATGTCATTTCACACAGGCAAATCAGTGCCAGGGGACTCAGCTATTTGCATGGATGATCTACTTCACCCTCTGAAATAACCTGAGACATAAAAATCATAAATGAACAAAAGCAAAACCATGTAATGGTCCCTTTAAGAGAAAGCTGGCAATATTTAACTAGAAATTACTGTCCCAGAAATGACATTCTGTGTTGTGCAGCAAGGAGAGCTTTTGTGTGTGTGTTTTCTTCCCTCCCATTCGGTTACAACAATGAGTCACCATTCCCTGCAAAGCTAGACATGTAGGTTCACCTCTAGTTGGCTGGGATTTAAAATGAGATGGATAAAAATGTTTAATTTACAGATTTAATTAAACATGAAAGCTTCCCAGGAGGAAAACATGTACCCCAACCTCCACTCCCCACTTTTTAAAATGTCTGTACCGATCGTCATTCCAAAGAGGCTACACACATAAGAGGAGTAGTTTTTAGTGATCTGTGTAAAGCATCAGTGTGCCCCAAATCAGAAAGACTATGTAATGAGGACTGGTACAGACAAAGCCCCGGTCCCACCCTCTGAAGGAAACGTACTTAAACTTACTTACATAAAGGCAGGCCCTGTGCCCACCTGTCGTGGGCCTCCAAGAGGCACAGGGAAGGTGAGGTAGTGGAAACACAACCTCAGAGGTTTCCTAAGAGTATGATGATTATGTACAATGTACTCCAGGCCTGAATTACCACCTAAGACAACCCCTCTCCCCAGCCCTTTTCTCCCAAACCAGGTCTTCCCAGCCAAGAAACCTGACTCTCATTTTCATAATGCTTCAGGCATGCATAGCAAAGAGCAGCTCTTTGGCTCCTGTAGTTTAGACAAGACCCTTCCATCTGAGCTGAAAAGTTAGAATTTCACCTCTTTGTCTTTGTGAAACTAAGCAGTCAGAAAGAAAACTACCTCTTTCCGAAAATAAAGCAAAGAGTGAATAATGAATGTGAGCACATACTTTGAAAAATATGTCTGTATGAAGTGAATACAGATATATATTCCAAGATATCCTAGAGTTCTCTGGGCATGGATGGACTGCCTTATTCTAACATCTCTTTAGTGTCTGCATATTCAACTCTAATTATATTTGAAGTCTTGAAGCCCATTTTTCTTTTCTTTCCTTTTTTGTTAATCCTCATCCAAGGATATTTTTCCATTGATGAAGGAGGAGATGGAGGAGGACAGGGGAGGGAGAGAGAGAGAGAGAAAAAAACATTGATGTGAGAGAGACATATCTATTGGTTGCCTCCTGCATGTGCCCCGACAGGGGCCAGGGATGGAGCTTGCAATCCAGGTTTGTGCCCTTGATGGGGAACCAAACCAGTGACCCTGTGTTGGGCAGACCCGATACTCTAACCATTGAGTGATACTGGCCAGGGCATGAAGCCCACATTTCTCAATTTTAATGAAATGTGCCCAAATGCAACTCCCATGACTAAGGGCATTGGAGATGGTTGTAAGATGACAATAAACTGAGAGCTGTCATAAAGCTGAGAAGGTGGTGGTGGGTGGTAAACCCCAAATGAAGGGGAAACACTTTTTTTTTTGTAGAAACCAGTGAGTCTATTTTCTAAGAATAAGGGAGACATTTTGACTGTAAGTGGGAGAGTTTTCCATTTCTATAAAGGGATTCTTCAGGGGCATGTTCAACAGAAAATATTACCTACTTGAGATTGTTTGTCTAGTAGACCAGAACTGTTTTTAATTCTATGTTCTTCACTATTAGTATTCAACAAATGAGCGTTCCAGCAGTAACAAGTCGAGTACCTTCATCACTCCAGTACCTCTGCATTCAGGGTTGCTGTTTTGAACATGGACAGTCCTAATGGCCAAAGGCAGGCCCTTTAACAGTGACATCTGTCTTTGAGTCTGCTTA